CCACGGAATAGAACTTTGTGGTAGATTCTTTAGAATGCCAGTGGAAAATTATTAAATAAATTTAAATTCAAGCAAGTACTTTTATACAGAACAGAATTTACCCTTCAAGGAAATACATTATGTTAGTACATTAGTACTATGAAAATGTTCAAGCATAAGTATCGAAATCCATGAAAGGTGGAAAGTAATCCCGTCTTTTCGAGAATCATCCTTCAACGTAAGGATAGAACAGATCTTTAACTTAACAGAGTGTCTCCATAATAATGCCATATAGTTTACTTCACAAGATCAAAGGTAAATCTGATTTCTGAAAGCCATACTGAATATGTTCCTGTATCATTTTTATTCCCGGACAATGTACTGATATCTCGGTAATATGAAACCGTAGCAGACGCATTCGCTGACACAATAACGACCTTCACATATAAAGGTGTCGTCAGAGGGCGGCATTCGAGCGAGGGTCATCCGCTGAGGCATAAGAGAACTCCACTTAGTCTGCGGAGTACAGCTTATACGGATTCTCAAGCTGATGGAACACCTGCAGGTTGACCATATTCAGCAGAGTTCTCAGGGTAGAAGAGAGGTAAGCTCTGAGTAGAGCGGAATGGTATTGGAAACGTGAAAGAAAAACCTTCTTAGACCTTTTTTCAAACTTTTTAAAATTTACATTCGTCATTAATCATTATCCTAAATATATTAAGCTTTACGATAATACTGTACAGTTACTGGCATTTCGCACAAAACTTGCTTTATGATTTATATTTGTGAATAAAAACTGCATTTTGATATTTAGATATATAGCCTGTGATCGTTTTCTTACGTTTGTCTACAAATATTGATATTATTCAGGAAACGTGCACTATATAATTGCTACGCTGTGCACGTTTTGAAAAAATAAACGAAAGTTCGAGTAATTATAGAATAACAGTGTGTATTACAAATACAGTAAATGCAATTAAAAATATTGTTAGATTTTATAAAAAAGATAGATATATATTTCGGAAATTAGGATTCAATATAAATGTGTCTCATTCCTGTTCTGTCAGTAATCAAAATAAAAGTAATTTACATTTTGGGCTCACTGTTAAAATTAAATACTGCCTTTTGACAGTGAATATCAAACATGGACGAAACATCGTTAGTTTAACTGTATATTGCTAACATTTTGTTCCCAATTTCACAACAAGGGAAGATAATACAACCACTGGAAAATATAGACATATATAATATTGAACGCGACGGAATAAGTGTATAAATAAAATTATGATGATTTTGGTTCTAAATTGGCCTCGTTCCCCTTAACCTCAAACCACAGGCAACCACATGATGAAATCCATCCTGCGTTCCCTGCTAAGACTTGGGTCAGGTACAAATTTATCAAAACACGTTCTCCATGCAAGCCTGAGATCATATGAGTAAACCATCTGTTAGAATTTGCGTCCCTATTCACGAGATGAGCCCCAAAGCGCATAAGTCATACAAGTGCGAGACATGCGACAAAGTGTTCAGACGAAAAGACAACTTAATGGTCCACAAGAATATACACGAGGGGATGAAACCGTTCGAATGCGACATTTGCGGCAAAGTGTTCAGACGGAAGGACAACTTGAAGACTCACTTGACTGTACACACGGCGGAGAAAGCGTATGGGTGCCACACCTGCGGCAAAAGGTTTGGTCGAAAGAGCACCCTCATGAATCACATGAGTATACACACGAAGGTGAAACTGTTCGGCTGCGGCACCTGTGGGAAGCGCTTCGGTCGAAAGGGCCACCTCGATCTGCATTCGCTGACACACACCAACGAAAAGCCCTTCGAATGCGACGCCTGCGGAAGGCGCTTCACTCAGAAGGGGAATCTCCTTCGGCACTCGCTCTTGCACACCAACGAAAAGCCCTCCGGATGCGGCATCTGCAGGAAGTTCTTCGTGCAAAAGGCGCATTTGGTGAGACACGTCGTGGTGCACAGGCAGAGGTTGGCTGCTATTAAGAGGTCTCTGCGGAGGGAGGCTTTCCAGCTGGGGTCTTCTGGCAGAGTTGTAGGATTACTTGAGAAGTAGACACTGAATATAGTACAGGGTGGAATGATAATAAAAACAAATGAAAAACAGTATATCTTAATAGACCTTTTTGATCTTTACGCTAATGAAATAGCAATCTATTCAACCTTTTCGACAGCAGACTTGTATTAGTCTTACATAGATATGAAAGCCCTTTGCGCTTCATTATTTTCAAGGAAAATTATCGATCGAAAGAGACAATGTGATCTGAATGCACTTGCTTACTAGAACCATTCGGGTGCGGTACTTCTGTCAGAAGTTAAAAATGAAGATATTTGGTTGTATTGTTTGTATCAGTATATCTTAAAATATGAATTAACCTCACCAGAGTCTCTTGCTGTTGTTTTTATTTCAGAATAGGAATATTCACACAATCGCATCACGTACTTATGAGTAAAATGAGTAAAGACAATTCTCTGATTAATTCAAACTCGAACGGACTTCAACACACAACTTAGCACTATAGTATCGGCCTCACATCTCCCAGGCGGTGGAAGCACTTTGAAGATAATTAAATTTCTCAGAATGAAAGAGAGATAGAATTACGTAAAAGAGGTTGTGCATGAAACTTCCATTGCTTCTTTCATTAAATGCCTTAATTAGATATAACAATATAGATCCCATGAATATAAAATACACTCTTTCTCTGTTGTAAATATTGTTAATGATTTACTTAAAAGGCATTTGTTCTATCATTTTACCATCCCAAGCTTTACACCAATATTAAAGATAAGTATTGTTTGTGAGTTAATTCAATAGTCCACTTACAGCCTCATGTTAGATAGTGTGAGGTCAACCCAAGAACAGCGGAAAAGCTTTTCTGCATCACGTGTGTTTTATGCGTTATGGCGCAACGACTATTTGACCATTATCAATATCGAATTTGAGTTTTAATGACACGTTCTTTGACAATGAATCGCAATTTGTATTTTACAAGGAAATTATTTAAATTAGATATACCGCTATGCGTTTATTCCTTTACTCACATTTTAGAGAGGATCTTACACCAGTTACATGGTGTAGACATTTAGAATAAAGAACGAAGGCTGATGTATTTATATTTACAACAAACACGCATTGCATTCAGAACGGAACACAATTAAGTGTAAGAACTGGATAACTGGTTACGCAAACACTAGCAACCGAGTTTTCCTTTACCACAAACAACAGGACAATAAACAACCCGCATTCCTGTTCCCCGGCGTCAAATCAGGTACACATCCCCTATATAAACCTGACATCACACGAGTGAATATCAATTGTGTTTGAGGTTTCTCTCTTCTCACGGTCAAGATGAGTCCTAAGACGCGTACTTTCAAGTGCGATACCTGCGGCAAAGTCTTCGGGCAAATGGGCAACTTGATGACGCACAGGAACATACACGCGGAGGTGAAGCCCTTCGGATGCGACACCTGTGGCAAGCGTTTCAGTCAGAAGGCAAATCTTCGTCGCCATTCTATCCTGCACACCAACGAAAAGCCCTTCGGATGCGGCATCTGCAAGAAGTTCTTCGTGCAAAAGGCTCATTTGGTGAAACACGTCGTAGTGCACAGACATAGGCTGGCTGCCCTTAAAAGGTCTCGGCGGAGGCAGGCGCTACAGGGAGGTTCTTCCGTGCAAGATAACTCACTCAAGTGTAAAGTGTGTGGAGTGCAGTTCACGCGCATCGCCAAGCTGGTGGAACATCTGAAGGTTCAGCATATTAAAAATTCACCGAAATAATGTATTAGGTCTATACAAATAAATGATAGTGATTATATATCATAATTTTCAAATGACATATAACTAGTATATCAGTATATATGAAGCGGAGAAGATTCATGTTTACTATACACATATACACAGCTATGTGTATATAACAATACACGACTTCAATATTATTGTTAATAATACACTGCGTATTTCAATCTATCTACATTGCAGATGAAATGTATTGAATGAAAGAATGTAAATAGAAAAATGCTGAAAGAGAACTGATGAACTATTAATTTTTCATTACCATTTTCCCAGATTTCTGCTTGCACGTCCTAGGGATTTTCATCGTGCTTGTGTCTGAATTATTTTCCTAAATTCCTTTGGATGTGTTCATAAATTCCCTACTATCTCACAGTTTAAGAAATAGAATGTTTTTAGCCACTGTATTTTATCCAATTCAGCTGTCCTATGTGTGTATATATAATAAATGTATACACACATATGTATGAATATATATACATTTTCATATATGTATAAACACACACCCACACACACACATATATATATATATGTATATATATATGTATGTATGTACGTATAGACGGTCACCTTCAGTCGATGGCGTTATTGTCTCTACTAAATCCCGTAGAGGTAGAGTCAATGCCTGGCCGAAAGAATGTGAGGAGCAAGTAGCCATGTAACAGGCTCCTTCTCTCCACACAGCTGATGGATCCAAAGGAACGGCATAGACCGATACGGTTTGGCACCAGCGGCGTTGTAGGAGTTGCCAGAACGAGGTCGCAAGTGCCAACGAACTGCCATCGGGATTGTTCCTCAGGGTTGACCCTCGAAGCCATTTTCATCTTAAAGATGCCAGAATGCAGTGGATTGTTTTATACAGGGTGGATCACTATGGGCATCACTATGGTATCCCAAAATTTGCAAATATGTGAGTGTGTTCATGTGTGTGTACATTCACACCCACATGCATTGCGGTCTTGTAGTTCAGTCCGTGTATGGTCAAAGGCTATGGGAGTTCACTCTATACAAAACAGTTTGGTCCGTCCATGGCCAGAGGCAACAGCTTGTTCCTCACATTCTTTCGCCGTGGCATTGACTGTACCTACACGGTAGTGGGTAGAGGCAATAATGCCAAAGTCGACATCGACTGAAGGTGGCCGTCGAGATAATCGCAGTCACTCCCCCCGGCCTCCCTCCTTACCTTCCAGAGGCCGACGACGAGGAG